CGTAAGGAACAGCGGCAGAATATGTCCCCGCCTAAAGGCATTGGCCTGGTCACACACGCACGCGCACAGGCAAGTAAATGTGATCCTGATGTCTCATTATCTGATCCGGTGATTGTGCCTGCGCTTTCAGATGAAGCTGTGTCCGGGGAGAAGCCAGAAATTGTGGCTCCCCCTCCTCCTCGTGAGGATGTTGCGAGACCGGCGCAACACGCCTGCTCAGGCAAGCCTCTAGACTTCTCGTCACTCCCGGTAACCCGAGAGCGTCAGCTAGTTTATCGAATCCTGGTGTTGGTGTTAGCTCTACAACATCTTAAGATTCATGTTGGATCCAGCCTTTGGCCAATTGTGGTGTTTACCTGTTATGACCCCTTCATATTCTGCCCTAGCGTGTCCAAGCACAATCAGCGTCTCCTGCAATGGGCTCTGATTGTGCGGGACTACAACAGTAGACACCCGTCATTAAAGGGTTCAGAGAATGTGGTGGCCGATGTACTGTCCCGTGGGTGAGATTTCAGGATTTATGTCCAATAGTCTGAGTGTTTTTGGTAACTGTGGCCAAACACTAGTTTGGTTTTATGGGGGGGTGCCGTAGTGTGGGGGTGTGTGTGTCTTTCTCTCTCTCCCTCCGATTACCCAGGTGCAGCCTCTTCCCAGGTGCTCCGAATCCTCAATCAGGGCCGTCTCTAAAGGACCTGAGGAAGGCTGCAGTCTCTCTCCTTCTCCTCCGGCTGCATGTGTGCATCATTACTCTGTCTCTGTGTGAGGCCTGTGTTCTTGTGAATTGTTAGATGTGCTCCAGTTTACCTTTTCGTTTATTTTAGTTTGCTTTGCAAGTTGGCTGGTGAGCCCTTTTTTCTTTTGTCCATTAAAACATCACTTTGTGGCTTCAGTAGACAGTTTCCTCTCCTTTTTATCTCGCCTGGTTATTTCTGTGTTTTGTTACTTTCCTTTGTACCCCTAGCCAAGTAGGGAACGTAACAAGCCAAAACAACAATGCGGCCATCTTCACCGCTGCATTTGCTGAATTCAAGTTCAAGGTGATACACTGGATTCTGTGACTGGGAAATTATTTACACCTACCAACCTAACGTCTAGCCAAAGTTAGCAAATTCACATTATTGTAAAGAGTAATTGATTCTACAAACATTTAGCAAACCTTTTCAACCTTTTGGCCGAACCTTTGCTCAGTGGGGTTACCTGTAGAATACTTACTGCCCTCTTGTAAATAGATTATTTAAAATACGGAATACGTCAAGTTAGGCAAGACAACACGAGAACAGTGATACTACTTCCGGTCCAGGCTTTCAAAAATAAACGTGACCAAATTGAACACAAATGAAAAACTGAAACTATAGTGGTGATCTAAAAGCCAACGATTAATCATTTGAACACCGTCTGTACTTATCAAGGACATTTAAGATCCTTTAACTTTATTTATGTTGGCATAGTCTACAATTGATCTAGTTATCAAATGTTTTTGAAAAGCATCTGATTTATAAAAAATGGTAATGATGCTGTGTATGACCGTAAACACAGGGGATGTGTTTTAGTAAATACTGTTACACACACATAGCATGTTGATCAAATTGATTATGTAATTAAAACATTTGGCTAATGTGGCTTTGTTAATTTAAACAAAATATATGTTGTGTCTGTTCATTTTGTAAGTAGGCTACTCACCACTCATAGGCTAAAACACTTTGAATGTTTCAGACTGCAATTTCTATACAATACATTAACTAATTTAGCCACAAAATAGAACAACCACAAATTATTTTAGTTTAATTATTCCTGATGTTTGTTGGGTCCGTTGATATTTTATTTTTAACCGGAAGTCCTACCATTGTTCACATATCTAACGTTCTGCATAAACTTGATGAAGTTACTCAGTCTGGCCACTAGATGGAAGTAAATATGCGTTTCTACACCTTTTCAAATTTTGTTTCCACAGAAATTATCTAATTTATAATTTGTTGTTGACTGCATTGGAGTTATTTTTATTTTTGAAATGTGCAAATAAGTCTTAATGAGCTGAACATTATAAGACATGCAGAAGAAGAAAGCTGTTTTGTTGTTCATAGTTGTCTCTTATTCTCAGATAAACTGATGAGCTCAACTTTTAAATATTATGAAAGGAGATTTTGTTATAAATATGAATGATAACTACTGTATTTTAGTTTCAATCATCTCTTTATATTTGGAATCAATAATACATTTGACTTGTATTTACTTTATTTTACAAGAGTTGAACCATTATGGGCAGTATATTGTATATATAGATTGTGTATTTGCGTATGTTACCATAGCAACATCAGCCTGGAAGATCTGTTTGATGAACTTGTTCTTGGAGGAGTGAACCAGCTGGATAATGTCCCCGTATAAAGTGTCTCTGTTCTTCTCCAAGAAGCCTGCAGGACTCACACAACAATGATAACATAATTAGAAGTATAATTTCATTATCCTACTTAAAAAATAGTTATACCTTGTGAAGTGACACTGACCTCTCGTCTCGTAGTAAACCACCCCAGCAAAGTGCTGGATGCCAAACTGAGTCTCGTGGTTGTTCTTGGGAGGGATGTAGTACGTGTTGAGTTTGTGCTGGAAGTTCAGCTTGTTCAGCATGGTGGTGTCTGTGCCCTGCACACACACACACACACACACACACACACACACACACACACACACACACACACACACACACACTTAGTAAAGAAGATACAGATAATGACTTCTCTCACAAGTTGTAACTTGTGAACTACACCATGTGACATGTTAACTTCTGAGTGTGTGTGTGAGTGTCAGTTTGAGTGTCAGTTTGTGTGTGTGTGTGTGTGTGTGTGTGTGTGTGTGTGTGTGTGAGTGTCAGTTTGAGTGTGAGTGTGTGTACCCTGGGGAAGCGGCTCTCCTCGTCGATGAGGGAGATGATGTTCATGGGTTTGATGGCGATCATGTCCAGAGCGTCCTGGTTGTCGGTGAACTCGATGTGTTGCCAGTTGATGTTCTCCAGGTTGTACTCCTCCTGCTCCAGCTTGAAGACGTGGCGCACAAAGAACTGCTGCAGGTTCTCGTTGGCAAAGTTGATGCAAAGCTGCTCAAAGCTGCAGGATGGAGGGCGAGAGGGACAAAAAACTGAGAGGATGACAGAAGAACTTCACTCTCAGTTGGTCTTTGAATGAAGAATAAGTGACAAGGACATCAAGATAGAGAGAAACAGCCTTAAAGGTGGGGTACATCACTTATTTCAGAAACACTTTTTGTTATATTCCATGGAATGCTCTTAACATTACATTGCATTTAGTTGACGCTTTTCTCCAAAGCGACTTACAATAAGTGCGTTCGACCAACAAAATACAAACTTGAAGGAAACAGAATCATATAAGTACATCCGGTTTCATAGAGCCAAACATTTCAAGTGCTACTCAACTGGCTTTAGATAAGCCAGTCCTTTATTAGTATATAAGTGCTTTGTTAGTAATTCTATCGCTCGAAGTGGAGTCGAAAGAGATGAGTTTTCAGTCTGCGCCGGAAGATGTGTAAGCTTTCTGCTGTCCTGATGTCAATGGGGAGCTCATTCCACCATTTTGGAGCAAGGATAGCAAACCCACGTGTTTTTGCTGATGGGAACTTGGGTCCCCCTCGCAGTGCCGGTGCAGCGAGCTGTTTGGCTGATGCAGAGCGGAGTGCACGTGCTGGGGTGTACGGTTTAACCATGTCCTGGATGTAGGAAGGGGCAGATCCATTCGCAGCATGGTACGCAAGTACCATTGTTTTGAAGTGGATTCTAGCAGTTACTGGAAGCCAGTGAAGGGAGCGGAGGAGCGGTGTGGGAACATTTAGAAAGGTTGAAGACCAGACGAGCCGCTGCATTCTGGATGAGCTGCAGAGGTCGGATGGCACATGCAGGTAACCCAGCCAGGAGGGAGTTGCAGTAGTCTAGGCGTGAGATGACGAGAGCCTGGACCAGAACCTGCGTCGCTTTCTGGGTCAGCTGGGGACATATCCTCCTGATGTTGTAAAGAGTGTATCTGCAGCAGCGGGTTGATGCAGCTATGTTTGCAGTGAAGGACAGTTTGTTTTCTAGGGTCACACCTAGATTCCTTGCAGTCTGAGTCGGGGAAACAATCGAGGTGCCGATGTTGACTGTTAGGTCAAGAGTGGGACAATCTTTTCCCGGAAGGAAAAGCAGTTCAGTCTTGTCAAGGTTGAGCTTGAGGTGGTGAGCAGACATCCACTGAGAGATGTCAGCTAGACAAGCAGAGATGC